ATTATGCAAAGCAAACATCCATTAGTTGTTTTTTTCACGTATAACATTTAACTAAAACCATGAGTAATGCTGGCACTACTTTGTGCCTGGTTTCTGCGTCTTGCGTGTTCAACTTTAGTGCATGAGAAAGTTCTCGCCATCTGCGATAAGCTGTTAAAAATTCTGTCTGTATAAGTGCTAGAGTTTTCGAGCATCTGATGCATAGTAGGTCTTGTTACCAGTTCTAGTGGGTGGTGATTCAACATGCCAAGAGGGTGAGCTCCATCATTTCAGAGCGAAGCGTGAATCTTAGTTCCCGGCACAGATCAGTGACACATCAGCGCAAAGCGACGAGCTGGTGCCAGAGAATCGTGCGAATAGATGCTTGTGTGTCTGTTCTTGTTAATAATGTTTAAGCTGTCTCACACAGTGCCCTTATATGCATATATGCATTAAGACCAGTGGATTTATTGTGAGATTTTCCCATTGCTACTTTGAACATAAATGGTAACGCTGTGATTTTATACACCACTGAAGCTAAGGCTAAAGCTCCATTCGGTGCAGAGAATCAAGTGTTCACACAATGCTTAACATCACAGCTACAATTTTCAGGTATGTACCGCAAACCCATAAGCATTCGGCACAATGCAGATAAGATGAGCAGGGAACAGATGGAACGTGGATGTGGCCTGTGCCTGAACATGGTGCCGATGTACGCACCTCCTACATAAGCCTGAGACTGTTAGCATGGAGATCTTCCAGAACAATCTTGGCATCTAGAGGATCTAGTCACCATCTGTCTCCCAGGACAACCTCCCAACATAGACCTTCCCCGCCTCCCGACACCCCTGTGCTCATCAGCTCAGATATACGCAGACTAACGCAGTCGCCTGTCAATGAAATTCACCGGCCGTTTGTCTTGGGTGGGCAAATATGAACCATAAGACAATTCTGTTTGGATCATCTGCACCACCTGTTAAGTCTACGAAAACAGATGACGGCGCGGTATTGTTAACAGGAGACACGCACTTTGCCAGACTTGTGTGAATCAACAGGAAGAATTACAAAATGCACACACAAAGCATAGCCAGAAATGAGGCCATTGATGAAGAACACAAACAGGAGTGAATTCGGTGTCAGTGTGAATGCTTCACACCGGTCAGTAGGCTACCAAATTTATTAATAAATGGGGATGCCCAGTTTTTTTATTAGTTTGTTCTCTTAATAGTAAGAATAAGCTTCCAAATTTGTAAACAGAAACAATGTTTAAAAGCCATGCCATTTCATTTTGTCATGTTGTGGTTGATGTTTCAAACTTATTGTGCCTCATGTAACTGAACATTAATAAATGTAATTACTAAAAAAAAAAATTGTATAATTAATTATGAAAAATATTTATCTAATTATACATATATAGAGTTTTTATAATTTTTTCTATTAGTATTTATGAATTAATTTTTGATAAAGTTCCATATTTTTCATATAGCCTATATATAATTATTAATTATTTTATTACATATGTTTTTTTTACATGAAACATGACCTGCATAAATAGTTACACATTGTGACGCTCACTATTTTAATGTCCTTTATCTTTAGTTGTAAATGTAGGCTATATCTAAAGGCCTGTTTAAAAGTAACTGTTTATTCATACAAAATAAATTTTTGCAAGCAAAATTGATATTATATTACAGTAAGTATTTCATTTGTGACTATTTTTTAATTTTTTTTTTAAGCATCCATATTGCACTTCTGTGGCTGAATGTGCTAGCCGAACAACTGCCATTGAGATGAATAGGAATGCTAATGCTAACAGATGCTTTCTCCAGCTGTATCAAACCGCTTTGGGACAGTTTTCGCTGTTAAACCAGAGAAAATCCAGTGACGTTGAAATGCCTTAAATCTGCACAGCCCCTTTTGCAGCCTTGGCAAATTTACACTGGGGCAAGGACAGGGAGTACGCAAGGCACCTGGTCTGTAAATCAATCATTAGCATGGGTCGAGGGCGGTAATTAGGCGTTCAGGAGGGAGTGTGTGGGACGAGGTGACGAGGAGCAGTTAATGAGGCTGTGGAGGGGTGAACGGCCGGCACCGCGGGAAACTTCACACACACGCCGCAATTATAAGGCACAGTACACAAACATACGATTCAACACCCAAGGAGGTCAGGCTAAAAAAAGTGCTGTAATTTAGATGACAGTCTAACAAAGCCTTGAGAACTGAGGTGCTATTTTTGTTTTAGTAAGGCAAAGCAATGGCCCGTCCTTCTTTAAGACTTGCTAGGCTTGTCTATTACTTGAGATCAGATTTCTGAGAAAATAACTAGTTATTTTATTGTAATGAATCAGTTTGTTTAGGTTTTTCTTTTTTTATTAACTTTTTTTTAGGGAAAAGCCCTATCTAGGGACCTGAGATTAACACAAATTAGCATTGTGCTAAAATTTGCATGTACATTTATTTTTTTCTGTATGTACAATATTGTTAAGTTTCCTGGTATTTTTTGTACTGTGCTATATAAAAAAAACAAATAAATAATTTAGTCTAATCGAGCAGACGATTTTATCTAAATTTTTTACTTCAGGATACAATTTTTTCATTAAACATGAAATGGTGACCCAGTACTGAAAAAACGGTTATCCAAAAGTAAACAAATATATTCATAAAATTAAACTTTTAAATGTTAATATTAAAGCAACACCAAGTAACTTTTCCTCCGCGGTCGCCCTACAGGTTGGAATTTATCCAGCACCGGCTTTGGAATGAACGATGTCCACAGACAAGGTAGAGTATGTTGCACGATTTCATGAAAGTATGATGTATTGTGACATCAGAAACGAAGAAAAACAAAATAATGACTATTGTAATGCTTGACGTAAAGCAAGTCACATTTGTAGTTTTCTTATGTCTCATTAGAACTACAGAAACGCGACCCGATCTGGCAATCTTACAAAGCGTGGTTATAGCACATATAGGACCGCAAAGCAAATCCAGAAGTGCCTTTCACCCTGTTACGACTTAATGAACCACTGAAACGATTTTAGAAACATTATTTTAAGGTAAAAAATCGTACCTAGTGTTGCTTTAAATTATTATTACCTTGAAATAAATTTGTATAATTTCTTGTGTTGTGTTTATGCCCAATAGGCTTTTTACTTTACTGTTTGAGTGTTTGATTTATAATGTATATAGACTATATTGGATTGTCGGTTTTATTTTTTGAAATACTAAAATACTCTAAACTGGCACTATATGAGTTACCAGATCTTGGTATCGGTCATTAAAAAGCCATATTGGTCAGTAGTGGTTAGTCAGTATACCATTTAACACCATACCATATTAAAAGTACAACAGTATTACTGAAAGCAACACTGTACTGTTTACTAGAGGATTGAAGCAATAATATTTGCTTCACCCCGGTAGCCTCTCTCACCTTTGAATTTACGAAAGACGACAAAAACACCCCAAAGAATGAAGCTTGAAGGCTATTTAATCTACCAATGCAACAAAGACTGAGGCTCACCAACTGTTTTCGGGAACAGATGCTATGTTAACTGTGGAGTGACGAGTAGGTGTATGAATTAACCCTGGAGTCTCACTTCCAGTCGGAGAGAGAAAGAGAGGAATGGTGTGACTCCAGCACGACTGCGGAGGCATTCGAGACTTCTCTGAGTAACTCGACTCAAAGCCTCACACACGCCAGGCCGAGTGGGATCTGAAGGCAATGATGATTTTCACTTGATCAAAGCAATCATGAAAAAGCGGCACAGCTTCTTCTTCTTTTTCAGAAAAGCTCAGAATATAAAGTGAAAGTGAGCCTGCTCATTAGGATTTTCAGGTTTGAAAATTCAGACAATTATTTTTGGTTTAGGATTCAGATTATTGTATCTTTGAGTGCAGCACTGTACTGATATTCATCACATATTAAAGTTCTGAAATGAATTCAGCCCAAACCAAATATCATACATATTCCATTTTAACTTTTTGGTTTTGAAAATGTTATATTGTACTTCTTAAGAATCAAATCTATCTATCCATCCATTCATCCATCGTTTTTATATAAAATTATTAAATATGTATACTGATTAAGTTTATACATTACATTTTTCAAATACGTTTATTAAATGCCAGACAGTTTCGTTTAGATTCTTCTAGGCTGAAAGGCATATCAAGATCTCCGAGTACATTAGTACATTAGATCAGTCAGCCCTGTAGCTCCAGCTGATGTAATTAAATCAAGGATGATGTTCAAATGAGAATCTATGTGGCTACATAAAGATCAAATTCAAGCAGCACAAACAGCTTAAATTAACGTGCATATAACAACATATTACAAACATGAAATTAGTAAAAAAAAAAAAAAAGGTAACATACACCCTTGGTGAGACTACATTGACTTTTGGTTTCGAGATAAACATAACAGGCTAACAACCTCAGAACTCATGGCAGGTCTTGAAAAAGTCACTTTCTTTCTGGCACTGATGGTCAAAGTGAATTTCTCATGCTTAAAACAAAATATGTTCAATAATTTAAACTTGCATGTACAATGTGTCATTGCAAAAGTGAAGCCACGTCAGGCGAGGTTAGAAAACAAAAGCCAGCATCCCATGCAAACCCTAATCTAGAGCCTCTGTCACCATTTAAATCTTGCATGATAAGAAATGAAAAAGCAACTGCGATTTCGGCGTCATACACATCTAAGAATGTACCGGTACTCTAGATTGCAGTTCATTTTTTATGAACTGCGTGAACATTTGCGCACCGGTTTCTGAACTTTATACAAGCATATTTAAAAAGCAGAAAAAGTTTCTGCTGACATTTGAAGAATTTTCCATAAAAAAAATAAAAAATCCTGATCAAACACTGTGCAGGCATATTTGATTTAAAGAAACATAGAATATAATACAAAATACTAACATGTTTTAAAAAGAATTATGAGGCAAGATGTGGAAAAACAATAGCAAATGCTTTTATAAAGGTCAAGTTTATTTAAAGGTCAAAAAATGGACAGCCTATAAGACATTATATAACATTAAAGATTATGACCAGCTTGTGGTAGATAGCCTTCTAGCCATTTACATTCTGAAACACACCAGCATTTAACATATTCTATTTACAAATGTGAGTAAAAAACATTGTGATGTCTATCTGAAGAATGATGTTCTTCTAAAAGAGGGAGGAGCAAAGCTGTGGAAATCAAAAGGCAGGAAAATCTCTCAACAGCAGCGGGTCTTCATGATGAATATAAAACTATCCACAGCACAGCTATCTGCAAAACACTGCTAGAAACGGATTCTTTGAGTTTTTCGAGCCAAAATCCTGTGTGCCCCAGGACAGCGTCACTGCCGGCAGGTGTCATGGAAGGCCTCCAGAGTTCGGAAGTCCCTCCATGTTGGAGGAAGGCCCTCCTGCAGGAACTTGCCACAGCGTTGACACGGGTTCTGGAAAAGCTTGATGTAGCTCCTCAACCAGGTCTGGTCAAAAGAACAACACACAAATTTTTGTGCTTTTTTTTTCTTCAAGAGCTGATTGGTTAAAAAAATTCCAAAAACTAAATAGCATTCCTCGTGTGAAGCAGACAAGACTTGATTAACACTCAGAGTCTAAAGTGACTTGAATGACACATTTTAGCCAAAATGAAGCAAAAGTATAAGGATGTTTTCCTCCTGAAATGCTGTAAAACTGTTGGCTGGCCTCATTGCACTGCATCGGTTGTGTGAGAGCAGCGTGAGGGCCTGTGGGGTCTCACAGCAGTCACAACTAGACATTGATTAACAGCAGGAGGAGTGTGTCTGCTCTCCTCTCTAACCCGTCTTCACTGGGACGCTCAGCACAGCCGGGGTTTACCTGCACCTGTCAGGACACATTGTCTTTCCTAATTCATCTGTCGGCCCGAACCGCCCTCCACTGATTCCCTGTTATTCACACTCCAATTAGCACACACAAAAGGCCTATCTTTCTTTCTTTCTTTCTATCTATCTATCTATCTATCTATCTATCTATCTATCTATCTATCTATCTATCTATCTATCTATCTATCTATCTATCTATCTATCTATCTATCTATCTATCTATCTATCTATCTATCTATCTATCTATCTATCTACACTCACCGGCCACTTTATTAGGTACACCTGTCCAACTGCTCGTTAACACTTAATTTCTAAGCAGCCAATCACATGGCGGCAACTCAGTGCATTTAGGCATGTAGACATGGTCAAGACAATCTCCTGCAGTTCAAACCGAGCATCAGTATGGGGAAGAAAGGTGATTTGAGTGACTTTGAACGTGGCATGATTGTTGGTGCCAGAAGGGCTGGTCTGAGTATTTCAGAAACTGCTAATCTACTGGGATTTTCACGCACAACCATCTCTAGGGTTTACAGAGAATGGTCCGAAAAAGAAAAAACATCCAGTGAGCGGCAGTTCTGTGGGCGGAAATGCCTTGTTGATGCCAGAGGTCAGAGGAGAATGGCCAGACTGGTTCGAGCTGATAGAAGGGCAACAGTGACTGAAATAACCACTCGTTACAACCGAGGTATGCAGCAAAGCATTTGTGAAGCCACAACACGCACAACCTTGAGGCGGATGGGCTACAACAGCAGAAGACTCCACCGGGTACCACTCATCTCCACTACAAATAGGAAAAAGAGGCTACAATTTGCAAGAGCTCACCAAAATTGAACAGTTGAAGACTGGAAAAATGTTGCCTGGTCTGATGAGTCTCGATTTCTGTTGAGACATTCAGATGTTAGAGTCAGAATTTGGCGTAAACAGAATGAGAACATGGAACCATCATGCCTTGTTACCACTGTGCAGGCTGGTGGTGGTGGTGCAATGGTGTGGGGGATGTTTTCTTGGCACACTTTAGGCCCCTTAGTGCCAATTGGGCATCGTTTAAATGCCACGGCCTACCTGAGCATTGTTTCTGACCATGTCCATCCCTTTATGGCCACCATGTACCCATCCTCTGATGGCTACTTCCACCATGTCACAAAGCTCTAATCATTTCAAATTGGTTTCTTGAACATGACAATGAGTTCACTGTACTAAAATGGCCTCCACAGTCACCAGATCTCAACCCAATAGAGCATCTTTGGGATGTGGTGGTACGGGAGATTCGCATCATGGATGTGCAGCCGACAAATCTGCGGCAACTGTGTGATGCCATCATGTCAATATGGACCAAACTCCCTGAGGAATGCTTCCAGCACCTTGTTGAATCTATGCCACGAAGAATTGAGGCAGTTCTGAAGGCAAAAGGGGGTCCAACCCGTTACTAGCATGGGGTACCTAATAAAGTGGCCGGTGAGTGTATCTATCTATCTATCTATCTATCTATCTATCTATCTATCTATCTATCTATCTATCTATCTATCTATCTATCTATCTATCTATCTATCTATCTATCTATCTATCTATCTATCTATCTATCGTTCTATCTATCGTTCTATCGTTCTATCTATCGTTCTATCTATCGTTCTATCGTTCGTAAAACTTCAAATAATAGCCGAGTCCCAAATAGACGCCTGTCTCATTTACACGCCTGGTGTGGCTGCAGGTTTGGGTAAATAAAGGCCGGTCTCAAATAGAGGCCGGGTCTGTTTTTTAGTTTCGGGTTGTATTTAATCTTCTAAAACCTGTCAGATCGTCCGCTTTTTGGCGGCTGCCAAAGCAAATTTTTTGTCCCTCCAAAGCCTTTTTTGATCGATGAGTGATGTAGAATAGAATAACTGCTGCGCTTGACAGGGCGCGTTACGAGCAGAGAGAGAGAGAGAGAGAGAGAGAGAGAGAGAGAGAGAGAGAGAGAGAGAGAGAGAGAGAGAGAGAGAGAGAGAGAGAGAGAGAGAGAGAGAGCGCCCCGGCCGCGCGCGCGCACTCTCACGTCTTCAAACAACACGAGCGCTGTCTTGCTCTCTCTCCCTCGCGCATATTAATCAAAATCAATTGACACTCAATGAACAACATCTCAACACTAAAAAAGGCCTGTCTCATATAGACGCCTGTCTCAAATACAAGCCGGTGCAGTTCGACGATATGAGTTTTAGCCTACATACCGTAAAACTCATATCGTCGAACTGCACCGGCTTGTGTATGCATGTATGTATGTATGTGTGTGTGTGTGTGTGTATGTATGTATGTATGTATGTATCTATCTATCTATCCATCCATCCATCACCAGGATCTTAAAGCTAAATATATCTGACTGCCTGTTTATGTATCTGTCTGTCTATCAGTCCATCCAATTAGTCAATCAATATGTCTGTCTGTCTAGAAAGCAAAAAGGAACTTAAAGGTATTTTTTAGAGACTAATGACCGGTGATGTATTTTTAGGTTCTAAATAAGCTGTCCTCAGGATGGCCTCGGAGCGAAGTGCATCAATGGTGCGGTTTTAAATCCGTATACGGGAGAAAGTCCACGATTCCAGCCATGATCAGAATAGCTCCGCATTGATCTTACGGAGAAGTAATCAATCTCTCCACTCTTTTCAAAGCTTAGAGCAGAGGTCGGCTGACTATTTAAAGACGGACCAGACACAATGCTTAACAACACACACAAATAAACAAGTCATGATAAGGTAAACTTGTGAAATTATTAAAGATTTCAAACATAAAATCAACAATTTTATCATTCCAGGGCACAGTTTGACGGGTTTATATACAATTAATCTAGCAAATGCTTTTATTTCAAAGCTATAGTATTTACAGTGCACTCAAGCTATCGGTTTTCAGCATGTGTTCCCTGGGAATCGAACCCATGACCTTGGTGTTGCTATTGCCTTCCTCTACCAGTGAGCTACAGGAATCATTTTCCTCGTTGTTTTGATCAAGCACTATTCTATTTCACAGAGTAGTGTGCACCAAACTAAATTTCAGCTTTTGGTCTAACATGATCTTGTATGCATTCTTACGATGTGGAATACAACCTCTCGTTAAACCGCACCACACAGCTAAAGGCAAAATGTAATCATTTAATCATAATTCTTGCACAGTGTCAGTATAATTTTAAAAGCAATGTACTATACCGACCATGAAGGAGCGAACTACAACATCGGGCATCTGGGGGAGCTGGTAATGCAGGAGGGCTGTGGTTGCATGATCAGTGACCTGAGAGAACAAAAAGATCACTGAGAAACATAACAGAAGGTGTACAATGAGTGCATTAACATATGACCTCCCACATTTACAAAACCAAAATGAAATGAGGAAACAGATAACATTTTAAATAGTTATACAGTACAGCCAGTAAGATATATTTATGCTCTGTAATTGGTGGTAGAAAATGGTTATGTGAAACTAAACTATACGGAGCCCCTAAAGAGTTATGGTGATGGGAAAAATATGAGATGGGAGGAAAAAATATATGTCAGTGGTATTGCATTTTGCACTGTTTTGCGTTCCCCGAGGAACTTTGCTTTAGCGCGTAAAATGTTTGTGTTCCTACAGGGAACTTTGGAAGTGAACGCAAAGTTTCTCAGGGGAACGCAAACGTTTTGCGAGTGAACGCAAAGTGTTTTTGGGGAACACTAAAGTTTTGAAATATATTTTTCCCCCCCCATCTCTAATTTTTTCCACCACCATGTCCCTTTAGGGGCTCTTAATTGGACTTCAAGGATACGTCCCAAATTAAATAATATCCATCCATGTATACTGAAGCAGTAAATACCTTTTTACCCTTTATGAATTTGAATAAATTTCATAAAATTTTAAAATCAACAGAAATTCGTATTTTCCATGTAGATTTTTCAGAGATAATTTACCCGTATTTTGCATTGTGCGTGTTTTGGGGTAAAGCCTAATGGAAAATGTCCTTCCAGTACTTTTTCTGTTTTTCCATTTTTTATTATACAATTATTTACAATAATAAAATTAATCTTGGTCCAAAAATATACTTTACTTTCTTAAAGCAAAATTAAAAAAAAATTCCTTGCATGCATGCATGGGCACACATTTAAAGAAATCCTAATTAAAATACATTTTCAGATCAATCTACCTACACTCAGATTAACTCTTAAGTCCAATTTTGCAGAACACCATAACCTTATTACTTTCCATAAAATCCCATCTTCCATCACTAATGTAATTATAGAAAGGGACTAAAAAGCGAAGCACTTCAATCTCCCGTCATCGTTTCATCAGACCTGCCAATGCTGACCAGAGTCCTTAAAGGAAACCAGCCAGTTAATACCTGTTGCATCATGGGAAAATAACCCTCAAATGGTTACTGTAGAAGTGTAAAAAATAAATAAAATAAGTGATGCTTTTTACAAACACAGAAACATCTGTGTGAAAACTATTGGACAGCGGGGAGATGTGAGGAGTAAAGAACGATTAATTAAGCAAGGACTGAAAACGGGAACACAGTAGTGACAGCTGGGAGGGGAAGATGAGAGGCAGCCCGTCCCTCCAGTTTGAGGCAGCCTGGGTTCGAGTTAGCGTTCGCATCCGGGGGAAATAAAGAAATAAACAGGTCTGGGCTTTGATCAGCCAGTAGAGATGCGAGGCGCTCAGTTACAATGCGAGCGGGTTCTCGCAACCTCTCGCTTTAAGTTCCAGGCAGCTCGTCATACACATTCTCTCTCCTTTGAAAGGAAAGCTAGTTTTTTCCCTCTATCTCCCTCTCTTTGCAAGGTGCATCAGCATTACCCACACTACGTAGTTTCATCTGCCCCGGAGGCTGACTGCTCTCTAACTCCAGCCTAATGAGATTCGGGGAGGGTGGAGAGAAGACGACTGGAGCACAGATGTTTAGGGTGCTGTCAAATGAGGGCGAAGTGGCTTGGAGTGAAATGAAATCAGAAATCACGGGGACAAATGATGTCTGAGGGATGAAAGGCAGGGATTGGCAGCGGAGAGGTGACAAGAAATTCGACCATCATTGAGAAGAGAGATCTCATTAGGATTTCACATGCGATTTAAATTTATTTATTAATTTATTGTGCGGCTCAAATTCAAGATCGTTTCATTACGTGCCAATATTTCCCAACACATGCTACGGGTAATGAGAAAGACATGCTCTGTTGATTAAACTGAGTTTCATATGTTTGTTGTGATGCCTTGTCAGCTGCGTTACTCACCTTTTGAAATGCTTGATAGTTGGACTTTGACCAGATGTCCAGCTAAAAAAAAAAAAGACAGAAAAGTAAACCATTAAATCAATGAAAATACTTATTCCCAGGGATTCAAAATACCCATTGCATGATACCCAAATTTTGCCCTTAATCACAACCCTTCTTAAACTCTTAAGGCCCATATATATTTGCGGCAGAGTTCTTTTTTGCTCTTTGCTTAGGGGTAAAAAGAAGTGTGAAATTTGTTTGCAGCCATATACTTTAATATGCACTGTGTGAATTCCTCTCAATAACAAAATAAACACTACAAAAATGACAGTGGTGAGAAAACAGCAGTTAAGAAAGCATCTGATTATAGCAATGTGGATAATATGTTCATTTTTCGGTGAACTAACCCTTTAGGTGCACATAAAGAGTACAGAAATATATGCAGGACTTAAACTTGAACACTTTCTTTGACACTTTAAAAAGGTCAGTAACGAATAGCCTTGCGTCTGATCATGTTAGGCGTGTTGTGTGGGGGCGAAAAAAAACCTTCACTAATCAACCCGTCGAGCGAAGGTCATCAGAAGAGTTTTCAAAGACGACAACAAATCAAAATGTTCTCTGATTCTAATATCAAACAGGCCTGGTGTCAGCATTTATCAGAGAAATCAGACTCTATCTCCCCTCTGTCCTCAAACCCACCTCCATACCCTGCTGCCCTTTGAAGTAAAAAGAATGCCGGATCGCAAAATTACCCAAGAGATGTCTGAGATCGTCTTTGAAGCCCTACTTTGATAGCATAGTTTCCCTTCTCCTACCCCTTCCTCTCCCTTTATTTTTGTGTTTGGGGGTTCAGGCGGGCTCTGTTGGGCCTCTTGCATATGGTTATGGTAAGCTATGTGGCATTGTTTGAATTGTAAGGACCAAAGAGTGGGTTTAAAGGAAATGCCTGTTGATATTCTGCCCTGAATCTTCGCCTCACACAGTCCCAAAATGACCTTTGAGGTTGATTCAAAGGCTGGAGTTGTCTGCAGCGTTTCATACAGATAACTGTAAATAAAATAAAATGAAATAAAAACAGTATTTGGGCAGAATTCTTTAGGATTCGTTTCTCGCAGTTTGTCTAAGAGTCTGATTGATTTCTGCTCAACCCAAAGTTTAATTTTAAATTAAAATAAAAAATAAATAAATGAAAATGCAAAATACATTTTTAACAAGGAGAAAGAGCTCATTTCATTTTAAAGCTCCACAATCTTAAATCTATAATGAACTGAAATGAATTACTGTTTGTTAACTTGTTTTTGAGGGGTTGAGTTTCCTTCCCAAAGATGAGTAGATATTTAAACTCAGTCTTGTTTTTTTACTCTTTAGTGTTTATAGCAGAAGAAAGACAAATGGTTGAATATAAATCTCTAGCCACCATGCAATATTATTCCTTGAATTGACATTAAACATCTTAACCATAGTCTCAATTCTGCATTCACGACTATATATATATATATATATATATATCAGAATAGCATATACAACAGAACACAAAGCATATAATACTGTATCCCACAATGCAATGCACTCAATTTACAGCTTGACAAAGCAACAGGAATTAATATCAGCTATAATCTTGACTTGTTACTTAATCAAACTGACAAAACTTAATCAGACAGTACTAAATTAAAATTGAGTTTTTTATAATTATAATTTGTATTTGCAATTATTATAATAATTTTGTATTTTTTTTAACCAAAATACCCAGGATAAAATATTTATTTGGCATACTACTCTTCTATTTGAGTATGCAAGTACATCTCTCTCATCTACACTCAGCAATTAAATAATGAGTTTTTCCTGGCATAATGAGAGCAGTTTAGGCCTCACGACTGATATCCTGGTGCGAGCGTTGCTGCGACTGTCGGTCCGAGTTTTCTGGCGAAGCAGCAGAGGTTAATATGCAATTGCTCACCACACACGTTTGGACGCGGAGGCCCAGAGGCGCGCAGCACAAAGAACCGGCCTGGCAAGCAGTTCAGAAGATTCACATTTGCTGCCATAATTAACTGTGATCAAGCATCTCTGCAGCTTTGATGGCCACCTCATATTAGTGTCACCAAAGAGTGTTCAAACGTTACGGCTTTCACAGAGACGTACAGAACGCTTCAGAATGAATGAGGGGACGCTGCTCAACCTGACACGAGGGACGTGAGGATAGAGGGTATCGCATACGTACATGCTTTTCATGTTCAAGAGAGACCCGAACACATCATGTGAATTATTAAACGGCTGTGCAGAGACTTTTATCAATAGCTAAAAATCCAGGGATTTCACATCCTTACCTAAGCCAGAAGTACTCGAGCTAAATTTGAAGGTTCAACCGGAATAAAATGGACAAAGATAAGTTTTAAACTAGATTCAAACAGAATGAAATTAAATATTTTACCTTTCCATCCTCAGAGTATATGTTCTCATGAAAACCTCGGACAATAGTGCGGTCAATAAAAAGGCTCCTCATAACCACGATGGCTTTCAAAACCTTCCCCAGTGTGACCTGGAAAGAAAAAAAGAAGAGATCATTGATCATTCTAGTTTCTTTAGCACAGAAGATTAAAATTATTTCTAAAAATGTTCTTTTCTTCCATTTTTCGCCTGGTCATTTCCACCACATCTCAAATTGTGCATTTCTTTGTTTTATGTCTGATAACGAAATGTCCAACTCTTTTCTCTGGCTAAGGACAATATCATAGCTAGCTTTTTATGTAAAGTAAATTGTTTTTGCATCAATTGAGAAAATTATAGCTTGTCTGGAAATGACAAACAATAAAAATATTCTGTTCACAAGTGATATTTAGTTAACACTTTACAAAAAGGTTTAATTAGTTAACATTAGTTAACTGCTTTAGTTAACTTCTACAGAATGTATTACACGATTCTTAATTACTGTTAATTTCAAAAGTTGTATGTGTTAACATTAGTTAATGCACTGTGAACTCAGATGAAAATAAATTAACAGCTGGATTTTTATTAACTAACACTAACAAAGATTCATAAATATTGTAACAAATGTATTGATCATTGTTAGTTCATGTTAGTTAAAAGATTAACTAATCTTAACAAATGAGACCTTACTGTAAAGTGTTACCGATATTTACACGTATACACATTTCTAATTCAATATCAATACCAATATCAAGCATGCTCTTTACTGACACCGCATGGCAACCATTTACTTTTGATAAAACTGTATAAGTGCCAAAATCATTCACTGTGAATGATGCCACAAATGAGGGCCATTCATTATTTGGGTAAAAAACAAACAGGATCACAATAAATATTGAAATGGTTTATGATTATTTCATACTTGATTCCCTCTAAACAATGCTGGGTTGTTTTAACCCAAATTTGGGTCAAATATGGACCAACCCAAATGTTGGGTTAAAAATGTAATTAAAAATTAACCCAACTTCAACTTTCACTTTCAACTGTAATTTTTTTAATTACATTTTTAACCCAACATTTGGGTTTGTCCATATTTGACCCAAATTTGGGTTGAAACAACACAGCATTTTTTAGAGTGTTTAAATGACAAAAAACTTTAAAAATGCAATCTTCTTCATGATGGATTTACATATTTTACAAAAGAAAAAAAATCTATGCATACATACGTTGCAATTTTTTTTAATAAAAGCATGGTTAAAAAGTTAACATGAACTTCATTCAAAAAATAAAATAATGTATTGTAATAAAAGTTAACCCTTGGGACATTAAGGTGTCTGTAGTTAATCATTTATTCAACCAAAATATCTTTAATTTAGAATTGCAAATGGCCAATTTTTCTTAATTTCTAAAACATACAGCACAAAACTGTTCTCGTCAGAGGATTAGTTTTTCCTTCATGCCAAAAAAGTTCACACACCAGCCTAAAACCATCTGCTGTCAGGAGGGGTTTCACTTGAGTCTTTAGGCTTAAAATGGGTTTAATCTAAGGCAAAGGAGGAAATCCCAGTATAGCATTCTTAAATCCTCACATTCACTTAGCTTTCATGCTAGGCACACCACAGAGGGAAAGACAGATACAGTACAGCATGGACAGGAAGAGGGGTGAGGATCTCCATATCAAGCCCTCTGTGTATTTGCCAAAGCTGTTCAAACATCAACACTGTCCCGAGAACAAAACAGCAATATGTTTCGGCTGAGCCCCACTTGCTGAATAATTGATGTGTCAGGCACAGTAAGGGATGCTGGGTAAGGCTGGGCCAGGTCTGAATGCTGGCAGGGTGGTGACGGTTCTTTTTTATGGCCCCTCTGAGGTTTTTAGAAGCCGGTAGATTTGACCCAACCACTGGCTGTGAAGGGGAACATGCTCAGGTGGTCTAAAAAACAGAGGGACAATGGCGACCAGCGTGATAAAGTTCAGCTAAAATAACACCCGAGTGGCAAAGTTTGACATAAAAAGGAACTCGGAATCAGAAGAAATGAAATATCAGCTTATTTTAGATTCATAGAAGAGTTTTCAGGTTCCTCAGTGCTCCACTTTTATAAATGCCAAACCAATAATGCAATACGGAAGGGACTGCCATTATAAAGAGGGATATTAGTTTGGCAGAGCGGAATTTACCATCTTAAAGAGCCTGGTGAAAATAAAGTTTTTAATGTTGTTTATATGTCTATGTGGCGTTTTTTAATATGCTTTAAGACAAACCGTGTGCAAATTCATCAGTCAACACCATTGCTGAGTATTTTCTCCTTAAAACTGCAGTGAACCAAACAATCGCAATATGAAAAATCAGGTACATTTAGCAATATAGCGGGTGAATTATCTATATAATGTATATTACGATGTTATTATGAACTACACTCACCGGCCACTTTATTAGGTACCCCATGCTAGTAACGGGTTGGACCCCCTTTTGCCTTCAGAACTGCCTCAATTCTTCGTGGCATAGATTCAACAAGGTGCTGGAAGCATTCCTCAGGGAGTTTGGTCCATATTGACATGATGTCATCACACAGTTGCCGCAGATTTGTCGGCTGCACATCCATGATGCGAATCTCCCGTTCCACCACATCCCAAAGATGCTCTATTGGGTTGAGATCTGGTGACTGTGGAGGCCATTTTAGTACAGTGAACTCATTGTCATGTTCAAGAAACCAATTTGAAATGATTAGAGCTTTGTGACATGGTGGAAGTAGCCATCAGAGGATGGGTACATGGTGGCCCTAAAGGGATGGACATGGTCAGAAACAATGCTCAGGTAGGCCGTGGCATTTAAACGATGCCCAATTGGCACTAAGGGGCCTAAAGTGTGCCAGGAAAACATCCCCCACACCATTACACCACCACCACCAGCCTGCACAGTGGTAACAAGGCATGATGGTTCCATGTTCTCATTCTGTTTACGCCAAATTCTGAATCTAACATCTGAATGTCTCAACAGAAATCGAGACTCATCAGACCAGGCAACATTTTTCCAGTCTTCAACTGTTCAATTTTGGTGAGCTCTTGCAAATTGTAGCCTCTTTTTCCTATTTGTAGTGGAGATGAGTGGTACCCGGTGGAGTCTTCTGCTGTTGTAGCCCATCCGCCTCAAGGTTGTGCGTGTTGTGGCTTCACAAATGCTTTGCTGCATACCTCGGTTGTAACGAGTGGTTATTTCAGTCACTGTTGCCCTTCTATCAGCTCGAACCAGTCTGGCCATTCTCCTCTGACCTCTGGCATCAACAAGGCATTTCCGCCCACAGAACTGCCGCTCACTGGATGTTTTTTCTTTTTCGGACCATTCTCTGTAAACCCTAGAGATGGTTGTGCGTGAAAATCCCAGTAGATTAGCAGTTTCTGAAATACTCAGACCAGCCCTTCTGGCACCAACAATCATGCCACGTTCAAAGTCACTCAAATCACCTTTCTTCCCCATACTGATGCTCGGTTTGAACTGCAGGAGATTGTCTTGACCATGTCTACATGCCTAAATGCACTGAGTTGCCGCCATGTGATTGGCTGCTTAGAAATTAAGTGTTAACGAGCAGTTGGACAGGTGTACCTAATAAAGTGGCCGGTGAGTGTATATGCCTATAGGACTTTAAAGCCCAGTAACAAAAGACAGAAAAAAATGAATTAAAATGAGACTTCACAAGCATTACAATGGATGGATTGCCTTGCAGTCAATGAGGAAAAGCAAAAAAGTCACTGAAGTCCAGCGACAGAGTCTAGTAAGGTTCTATGCATACATGAATAAGATATGAATAGGAAATTACTTGTTGTTTGGGTGAAAGAGCCGATTGCAAAAACAAACCATATCTGCTGAAGGAGATGTCACTGCCACAGAATCCCACACCTGGTAATTGGAAAACTTTTACACAAAAGATTTGGTCTCATTCGGAGAAATAGAGATATACTTTCTCAGACTTTATCACTGTATGTAAATTTGGCCTGCAAATTGATAGATAAAAAGCCTTAGTAAAGTAAATAAGTAAGTTTCAACCAAATTTCCCTTACAACCAGTGTTTTTTGTTTGTATTATTCACATACTATTATAGTATTTATTATTTTGAATTGGCTTTCATTTTGATATTTTCAGTTTTCATTTCAATTTGAGTATTTTTAATGAAAAAATACAAATTTTGTTATGTGCTTTTGTCAATTTTATTAGTTAGCTTTAGTTAGATATTTCTGTTTAGCTTTAATTTTTTATTTCAGTTTTACTATTTTTTGAGTACTACTAATTCTAATATTAATATTTTATATCATTTTATGTCAGCTTTATTTCAATTAACCACACAATTTTTTAACAACAACACTGCTTACAACAAACAGTACTTCACGACATCATAGTATGATAAAATCAGAATGTAATGCCATGGTACTATGGAAATATACTATGGTATAGTGATTTTCATATTCTTATACCACATAATGATTCAGTTATTGTTTTTGAGCAAGATAGACTTTAAAGTAGTTGTACACTCCAGAGCATATTGGGGAGGGGGAGGGGGGGGGGGGGGGGGGTGTCTTGAGATGATATTAACGATTATTTTGGTAATCGAGTAGGCCTAATAGGTTGATTATCTTGACAAATAATCCAGTAAAAGGATATGGTGATTGATGTTGTTACACTTTACAGCAGATCAAATCCGTGTTTAATCTTCGCCAAACAACATTTAATTCAAATGTGCCCTTAATCTTTAATACTTGGCCACTTCTTTACGGTAGAAATGCTACAGCCACTGTAATTTCTTGAACAAGAACATGTGGACATCAAAACATGCAAACTCAGAGCGAGGGTTGAAGCTCTTATTTTGAAATTGCGATAAACAACAGTTTAGAAACATTGATGTATTCTCCTGTGTCACAGACACTAATTATGTTCAGCTGTTCACTCATCATCACCTGTATATATGTTCGGTTTCAGTTCAGTGTCCGGTGTCATCAGTTTTGGATGTGTTTTATGTTGCTCTGTTCGTATTGGATTACCTGTTGGATTTATTACCTGTTTACCTTCATCTTCATCATCTACCTTTATACACGCATACCGCGTAGCTTTACCCCAGACC